TTCCTCCAGAAAAGGGCTTCTTTCACATATTTATTGCCACATATGTGTTTCCAAGTTTGCCACCTGTCCACAGGTTTTCCTCAAGGAAACGCAATATGGAAAAAGTCAGACAGGAACTCGGATCCTCTTTAGCTCAGTGATTCCAAACATTTTTCTGCACCAAATGTTCTTTTCAGTTCCTCTCCCCCATGAACACTAATACATCACAGAGCTGTTTCCCAAACTCGAGCTGTTTGCATCACACTCCCAATTGTCCTGTCTGCACACCATCTGTACCCCTGCTTCCCAAGACTTCCCTGAAAGTCAATGCAGTAGATTCTTAATGAGAATTTTCATGAAGCCAGTAGCACATGTTACAAACACAACAACCACAAAATGAAGGAGAGGCCCATGTTACCAAAGGCTTTCCAGAGACTGTGGCGGCCCCCAGCCCAGAACCTGAGGCCCCCACTGGTAACAGGGACAGTGAGCAGAAGTCTTGATGCCAAACAGAGGCTGGAGAGATATTCTAATGACAATGACAGACAACACATGTACCCTGAACTTTGCCAAAAGACTGACAAGTGGTAACAATACCCTCACCATCACAGGACTTAATGTTAACTAGTATCATGGCAATAAATGTTAACTACCCAAAGTCTGGCGTAGTGTGCACATGTGTGCATGCTTGTCCATGCATGTATGTGAGCATGTGTGTGTAAGGGTGTTTGTGTGTGCATGTAAGTGCATGTGTATGTAAGCATGTGTGAGCATGCATGCATGTGTATGTGACCATGTATGTGTGCATGTGCATCTCTGAATGCATGCATGTGCGCAACAGTGTATTTGTGTGTACATGTGTATGTGCATGCATGCAAATGTGTGTGTGCATGAGTATGTCTATGTGGGTGCACATGTGCATGTGTGTGTGCCTGTAAAGGTGTCTATGAACATGTGTGTGCCAATGCATGTAAGCATGTGTGTGTACACACAAGCATTGTGTGCATGTAAGCATGTTTTTCTGTGTATGCATGTATGCAATTATCTGTGCATGTGTGCATGTCCATATAAGTGTGTTTGTGTGTGCATACATGTGCTCATGTGTGCACATGCTTATGCATGTATGTGTACATGAGAGAAAGACCAACCAAAGTGCACAGATTAAGAGGCAATTCCTTTTCACATGGAGGTGATGTGGCCACATGGATTGTGGCGCCCATCTTATTTGAGTCTGAGGCCATTCCCGAGGTGAACAAAGTGCTTCTGAACACTGAGAAAGGCATTCAACCCCTGCTTCCTTTGTGAGTCACCAGGGGCCTGGGAAGCCCCCTTCAGGAAGGGCTGGGAACCAGCAGAGACTCTGGGAAGCTGAGGGGCCTCCACAGCCCTGCTGTGTGTAAACCCAGGGACACAGGCCTTGTGCACATGCTCTGTGCTCATAGTCACTGCCCCTGCCCACTCCCACGCAGACCACACGACCCTGGCACAGAAACCCCTGCTCCACAGCCTGCACAGGGAAACATCGAGGGCATTTTGTGCCAACTGCATGGGAGAGAAGATGCGCACTGTCACAAGGTCACGGGGTAGCCCGAGTTCCTCAGCTGACCGGGGGCCTGGATGGCTGAGCCTCTGAATCTGGGCACATCCCCATGCAGAGCAAGTGTCAGGTGTCAAAACACTTACTGTTCACACACCCTGACTCCCAGAAGCAGGCTGGCCCCCCCACTGGAGGCCAGGTGAAGAGCCAGCCAGGTTCGTGTGCTGAGTGATCTGAAGGCACACCACAGGCGACTTGGATCCCACAGGACGTGTGCCCTGCGCACGAACTGAGACTGACCTTGGCTCCATGTGAGTGTCCTGTCTTGCCACAGGATTTACAGTTACCCTCCGTAGCAGTGAAGTAACTGCAAAGATTCATAAAACCCAGCACCTCTAACCTTGACCTAGTTTTCATTTTCAAAAGGCAAATAGACTTTGTTTACTTTAACAGGGAAAAAATCATTTGGCTATAAACATCACAGACACCGATTCTGGAAAGTACATAAAAGTATAAAGAAAACAGAGATGAGTAAACACTGAAGACACAGCAACTTACCTCAGGACCAACGATGACCATGTAAACACTGGGCTCTTCTTGATGCCATTCTGGAAAGAAAGAAAAACGGTTGTAAGTCACAGGAGAAGACACAATTACATTCACGTAAATTACTGCCTGTCAATTTGCTTTCATTCCTGAGAAGCATCAATTAGAATCACATTTACTTAAATTTACACATCTGACAGCCTGTCCTTTACATAAAATACTCTTCCTACAACGCTACCCACTGCACCCATTGTCCAGGTTTCCAATCGGAGAATGAGGAGCAAGGAGCCACCAAGACTTCTCGTGAATGGTAGGGGCACTGAGGACATGCACATCAATTGAAGCAATGCAATAAAATACCCGACACATCACACAAACTGACATACAGATGACGTGATCTCGTGACCGTTTGGTATTTTTATGGCTGCCCCTGAACATACAGGACACAGGAACATAGAAATCTGGGTAAAACTCCTGCACAGAGCTGTCAATGCCCAAAATTATTTTTCTGATTGTTGTCAAAGCAGGGACTTGGGTGAGGCTCTGTTACAGAAAGAGTTCTTCCTTTGCGCAAAGAATGAGAAGGTAAAACTACAAGTCCAGCGGCGAAAAACTCTGCCGCAGGGACTAAACAGAATGTCCCCACAGACAGAGGAGGAAGGGAACCTTACAAAACCTACCTGAAAATGCGTCCACCAAATAGAGAGGGTCTTTCACCGGTCTAAGTCCACATATCATAAGAAATACGTGTAAGTTATCGGCACTTTGGTTAATCTCTGCAACAGAAGAGTTTAAATATTTTAAATGGGGAGGAATGTGCGCGACAACCCAGCAGCCATGACCCCAAGGCCCCACTCGGGAGCCAGAGCCCTCGGCCTCCTGCGGCAGCGGCTCCCACCGCTACCAGCTCGGGATGAAGTGCGCTTCTGGGAACAAGTCCTTCTCCTGGCGGCACCTGAGCTCGGCCTGGGAGCCCACGGAGCGCCGTTGCTCTGAGGAAGGCGGCGCAGGGCGGAACAGGTCCACTTACCGCCGAGGCGCGAAGGGAGGTCCCGGAAAAACCTGGATTGAGTGACCGTTAGAAGGATCATTTCCCTTATGAAACCAGAAAAACGGCTTATATATTAAAGAGCTCTCGAAAAGGGTGCACACACTCTCACACACAGCCAGCAGCACCAGGGCTCCCGAGGTAGGAGGATGAGAGCCCCACGAAGACACACCCCGCGAGGGGAAGCAGGGAGGGAGCGAGGGGAGAGACGGTGCCAGGAAGATGGGGAAGAGGTGAAATAAGGTGGGGACAGAGGCCGGCGGGAACGGCTGTCCCATTCCTGCGTTCAAAGGTCCGGTCCCGGGGGAGGACTGCCGAGGTGTGCCGGCCGCTGCGCTGAGAAGCGAGCATCGCACACAACGCCAAACCACACCCGTGTGGAGGATACTGATGGAAACGGATCGAAAAACTCCGAGGGCCGGCGGCAAGCCTGATGCCACACCCGCCGCCTCCTCGTGAGGACGGCTGCTTCACCGTTCATCCGATCTTCCTGAATCTGCCTGGCAGAAAACCGCGTTAACGGCTTCGCTGAGGAGGCTTCGTCTTTGGCTTAGAGACATTGGAAACCGCGTGGTGTACGGAAGCGGTGCGCTGGCTGAGCGCTCAGTGTCGGTTGGCCCGCCCCTAGGAACGCCGAGGGTGAGCGCTAGACCCCCGATGCCCTGTATCCTAGACACCCCGTCTTCCTCCTTCGCTGCCTGAGGCCCACAGTGGCTTCCAAATATGCCGCGGGCCAGGGGAAGACAGCAGGACAAGGAGGGCAGT